TCTCTCCAGTTCTTCTGCTCCACCTGCACCACTGACTCTCTCCAGCTCTTCTCCTCCACCTGCACCACTGACTCTCTCCAGCTCTTCTTATCCACCTGCACCACTGACTCTCTCCAGCTCTTCTGCTCCACCTGCACCACTGACTCTCTCCAGCTCTTCTCCTCCACCTGCACCACTGACTCTTTTCAGCTCTTCTCCTCCACCTGCACCACTGACTCTCTTCAGCTCTTCTCATCCACCTGCACCACTGACTCTTTTCAGCTCTTCTCCTCCACCTGCACCACTGACTCTCTCCAGCTCTTCTGCTCCACCTGCACCACTGACTCTCTCCAGCTCTTCTGCTCCACCTGCACCACTGACTCTCTCCAGCTCTTCTCCTCCACCTGCACCACTGACTCTCTCCAGCTCTTCTATCCACCTGCACCACTGACTCTCTCCAGCTCTTCTGCTCCACCTGCACCACTGACTCTCTCCAGCTCTTCTCCTCCACCTGCACCACTGACTCTTTTCAGCTCTTCTCCTCCACCTGCACACTGACTCTCTTCAGCTCTTCTCATCCACCTGCACCACTGACTCTTTTCAGCTCTTCTCCTCCACCTGCACCACTGACTCTCTCCAGCTCTTCTGCTCCACCTGCACCACTGACTCTCTCCAGCTCTTCTGCTCCACCTGCACCACTGACTATCTTCAGCTTTTCTCCTCCACCTGCACAACTGACTCTCTCCAGCTCTGCTGCTCCACTGACTCTCTCCAGTTCTTCTGCTCCACCTGCAGCACTGACTCTCTCCAGCTCTTCTCATCCACCTGCACCACTGACTCTCTTCAGCTCTTCTCATCCACCTGCACCACTGACTCTTTCCAGCTCTTCTCCTCCACCTGCACCACTGACTCTCTCCAGCTCTTTCTGCTCCACCTGCACCACTGACTCTCTTCAGCTTTCTCCTCCACCTGCACCACTGACTCTCTCCAGCTCTTCTCCTCCACCTGCACAACTGACTCTCTCCAGCTCTTCTGCCTCCACCTGCACCACTGACTTCTCCAGCTCTTCTGCTCCACCTGCACCACTGACTCTCTCCAGTTCTTCTGCTCCACCTGCACCACTGACTCTCTCCAGTTCTTCTGCTCCACCTCCACCACTGACTCTCTCCAGCTCTTCTGCTCCACTGACTCTCTCCAGCTCTTCTCCCACCTGCACAACTGACTCTCTCCAGCTCTTCTCCTCCACCTGCACCACTGACTCTCTTCAGCTCTTCTGCTCCAACTGCACCACTGACTCTCTTCAGCTCTTCTCCTCCACCTGCACCACTGACTCTCTCCAGTTCTTCTGCTCCACCTGCACCACTGACTCTCTCCAGCTCTTCTGCTCCACCTGCACCACTGACTCTCTTCAGCTCTCTCCTCCACCTGCACCACAGACTCTCTTCAGCTCTTCTCATCCACCTTCACCACTGACTCTCCAGTTCTTCTGCTCCACCTGCACCACTGACTCTCTCAGTTATCTGCTCCACCTGCACCACTGACTCTCTCCAGCTCTTCTGCTCCACCTGCACCACTGACTCTTTTCAGCTCTTCTCCTCCACCTGCACTACTGACTCTCTCCAGCTCTTCTTCTCCACCTGCAACACTGACTCTCTCCAGTTCTTCTGCTCCACCTGCACCACTGACTCTCTCCAGCTCTTCTCCTCCACCTGCACCACTGACTCTCTCCAGCTCTTCTTATCCACCTGCACCACTGACTCTCTCCAGCTCTTCTGCTCCACCTGCACCACTGACTCTCTCCAGCTCTTCTCCTCCACCTGCACCACTGACTCTCTTCAGCTCTTCTCATCCACCTGCACCACTGACTCTTTCAGCTCTTCTCTTCCACCTGCACCACTGACTCTCTCCAGCTCTTCTGCTCCACCTGCACCACTGACTCTCTCCAGCTCTTCTGCTCCACCTGCACCACTGACTCTTTTCAGCTCTTCTCCTCCACCTGCACCACTGACTCTCTTCAGCTCTTCTCCTCCACCTGCACCACTGACTCTCTCCAGCTCTTCTGCTCCACCTGCACCACTGACTATCTTCAGCTTTTCTCCTCCACCTGCACAACTGACTCTCTCCAGCTCTGCTGCTCCACTGACTCTCTCCAGTTCTTCTGCTCCACCTGCAGCACTGACTCTCTCCAGCCCCTCGGCTCTGCCTTGGGACCCTTCACCACCAGTACAGCTCTTTGAAGTGGATTATCTGGTTATACCTCCAGGGTAATTTTTCCACCTCGGCCTGTCAGCACTTCGGTTCTGCACTCCCTCAGCTCCACCGTAGTCCTCCATCTACTCTTTCCTCAATCTACACCTTAAACTCTCATCATCCTGGATTCACCATGGATTTCCAGGCTTCTGACTGCACCTCAACTCTCCACCCCTTCAGCTTTACCAGGTTCCCTTTTCTCTGCACCTTGTGGCCTATTATGTCGCTCTAGTACCTCGTCCTGCCGGTTTCACTGGGGTCTCCACTTCTGGAGAATAATGTACTGTAAGTTTGATTAGCCTGATCAAATCAGTGGCTTTGGAGACAAACAGGTGGGAAATGAGGATAACTGAATTAACTAACAGATCAGAGCAACAAAGAAACTCAAACATGAACAGAACCGAAAGAGATCAAAAGACAAACTGAAAATGTGACAGTTGTATATCATATCTCATTGTGCATAATCACACAGAGATATTTACCCTCCTACCCTCCATGGCGTAGGCATAACGACGACTGATCAAGGCGAAGCCAGAGGGATGAGGGAGCCCATGAGGGAGCCTGCAAAGATAAATGTCCCAGGTGGATCTGAGGAGCCAAGGTGTAGCCGACTGGTAGATGGGCTGAGGTGGAGTGATGGGCTGGCGGCCCAAAGCGGAACCAGGGGATCCACTTACCAAGGCAGAGGTGGAGACCAGAGGGCCCAAAGTAGATCCGAGAAGCAGACCAGAGCCACTAGATGTGGAGCAGAGGTACTGAAGGGAGCCAGTGGAGGCATGGATGAGGAACTGGCTGGCTTAAGCAGAGGAAGCGGCCAAGGCACTCATTTTGCAACCCTTTTTTGAGACAGCGGGAGTATTGTTTTTATAACTAGTCATGTGTGTGTGACCTGCAAATTTGAGTATATTTTAGGATGAGTAAGGAGTGAGTCCACCGGTGTAGGTCATGAGAGGGGGAGGTTCTGGGAGTGATTAGTCAACTGCGTGGGTCACGAGCCGCGTGTGTCATGCTGTTGTCACATCTGACATCACAGCTTAGTCAAAAATGACAAAATGAACCACTGATGCTTTTTTTTCACCAGAGCCAGGCCCTCTACAGCAAAAATTGCAGAGAAGGAAAAATCAGATGACGAGACAGAAGAAGGAAGGAGTGGCGAAAAAGGCAAAACAACAATATTTTTTTCGACTGGAACAAAAGGGAGTTTACAAGGCTTAGATACTTAGGAATAGGCTGAATAGGCTTAGATATTGCAAAAACACTAACACCATGAACTGTATCTTCTGCTCTCGATGTAATCTAAAACGTATGGGGAAACCAAGTCTGCTGAGGCAACCGGCACCAGCCTCAAAGATTAAATTGGACACGCTAGTGAACTACAAAAGCAGCTTGAAGCATAAAAAATGCAGAGACAGATGAATGAAAATGAATGAAACTGCAATTGCCACTTCCAACAGGATTTCACAGGCAGGAAGATAACATTCAATCAGCAGATGATCCTGAAATTTAACACAGCGTATTTTATAGGTAAGGAGGAACTATTCACCAAATTCAAGGGTCAAACTGAATTGTTAAAAAAAGAATGGCATACAATTTAATCCTATACAGCAACGACACAGCATGTGCACAGTTCATTGGCGCTATTGCAGATTCACTCAAACAGAAGACTCATTAAAAGAATAAGGACACCACTCATTGGTGACACAGATGTTCAACTAAAGAATATGAAATTGTGTAGACAAGGAGGATCCTGCAACAAGGTAAGCCAATAAGTATTTGATCTGGCCACATCGAAGTTCAGCATGTTGTTTACAGTGGCTGAATTTGACTCCAATTTAGTGCTTACACTCAATAACACAATAGTCACTTCAGAATATATGCCAGGAATGACTAAGAGTAGGAAACTCAGCAGGGCAACTAGATTTTTCCATGCAGGTTTCTTACGCACGCACCTCTATTATAGCCTACAATTCAATTGATTGCCTAGCATTAATTCCTGAGTGTCTCACTATGCATTTAATCAAAACTATTAACCTTTTTCATATTGATTTCAAGCAAACCATAAGTAGCTCTACTAGACTGTGGACATGGCATGCTGCTTGGTCATCAAAATTAATTGAGTCACACAAATGTCAGGATTCCACCTATAGCCTACCTCAAAAGTTGTGTTTCTTAACCAGCATAGTTGTTGGAGATATTGACGAGGTGCTCTGTGCCCTTCTGTGACTAGTGATTTTTTTTTTTTTTGTTGTTGTTGACAAACTTTGAATCAATTGATTCGCAAAATGATTCGCTGTTTCGAAGCCCTCAAAACGCGACACGCTGGTGACCCCTGCTGGTCATGCATAAACATGCACAAAAACACATTTTAAGTGCGCAATATGCAAATGTTAAATAGAAAGTGTATGCCATTAAAAAATATACCATTAAACGAAGTGTAGTCTGTAAAATGTTATTTTGTTAAATTATAGTATTAAAATATTGATTTGAATCATGCCAAGACTACAACTCTGAACTCCCCCTTTTATACAGATTACAGTAATCAGGTAAAAACCATAAAGACAGTGGTTCATAAACTAAATATTTCGTGAACGTTTGAAAACAGTTAAAGCAAGCCTCGTTTATTGAAATAACGTGACTTTAGCAGTTTGACACACAACACCTGCTCCGAATCACTGGTTCAAACCAAATTATTCTCAAAGGATTCGAAGCTTCACGAAGCAGTGATTCATCCACACGCGCCCGCCACTAGGTGTCAGCAGTGACGTGCCGTGCGTTCATAGACAGCAGCGGAGCTCGCGCAGAAGAAATCAGTATGGTTGTTTGGAAACCGCAGTAAACGTTGGTCTTCTTCAGTAGCTATTACAACATCCACACACAGGTTTTCCTTTGTAAATACGAAGATAAACCCACAAGGCTCTGCAGCAGTAGACCTTTAAACGACTCAGTTTTTGTTGTTGGTCATTGTGTAGTTGATCATGAACGTGGCTAAAAGTGGTTATCGTGTTTTCTCGGCTAACTCTACGCCCGCCTGCATTGAGCTCTCTAAGAGGATTACTGAGTAAGTAAAGTATCCTACGAATAACTGCTCGATATTTAACATGGGTAGTGATTATAGAAGCTGTTCTTGATGTATAAATGTGATGTTATTGTGATAGTGGCCTGTAGATCAACAGAAGCTGGCCCGTTTCTTCACCACATCGTCACTTTGATGACGTTATAGACTAGTTGTAAAATTTTGGGATCGATAACTGATCAATAAATCATGACCATTGTGCTTTTGAACATCAGAGAAGTGGACCTGTAATAAGTGTACTTACTTTAGCACACTCTGTGGGAAGTAAATGTAATGTTTATCTCGTGCACGTGAATAGATCAGAAACAGTGGGCTATTCATCACATAAGCTGTACATGTGACTGGGAATATCCTGCATTCACTGAATTAACTCTGCTTCAAAGTTACTCTCATGATAAGAAACTTTGCAAACCTGTGTTGATGTTCTGCTTGTGTTTGCGCAGGCGTCTTGGAGTCGAGCTGGGGAAATCAGTTGTTTACCAGGAGTCAAACAGAGGTGATCAATAATGCCTTGTTCAAACACACTTTGACCTTTGACACCATAACATGGACTGAACTAAAGTTTACTATCATTTGTTTTTAAAAAGTCAGCTTTATGCTAATCCTAGTAAATAAATGGGTTTAGTGCGTTTGTACGCATACTCAAGTAATAATAACAGTAAGCCATTCATAATTGCAAACATCTAATCCTAATTCTATACTAAGCACATGTGGTTAATTGATATCTCTTGGTACCTAATTAAAGGACTCCTTGAAATGAAGTGCTACACTTTATTTGGTAACACTTTATTTTACAGTGTCTTTGTTACTTACCATAGTAATAACAGTCAATTGGGCATAATTACATACAACTAACCATCAACCATATCCTACCCTAACCCTAGAGTACGTACATGTTGTTAATTAAAAGTACCCAGTACTTATAAATATATAATTGTCTTTGTTACACTGTAATTAAATATTTAAGTACAGAGTAATATTAAGTAACTATGTATTTACTATAGTGTCTTGGTTTGTAATTAATTGTACTACAATATCTAAAAAAACGTGATTGCATTACATCACTGATTTGTTTGTAATTACTAGGCCATCACTGCATTTTTGCAGTTTCAAGCTTCATCTGTATCTCTCAAAGTCTGCACTATTTATGACGATACTGTTTTTACATCACACAAAACTCAAATGATTATTTCAGATCTGTACACTCAGAAAAACTTCATGGGCAACGATTAATCGCAATTAATCGCATCCAAAATAAAAGTTTGTGTTTACATAATATATGTGTGTGTAGTGTGTATAATTAATTTGTATATGTAAATACCCACACATGCATGTATATATTTAACCCTTATGCTGCATTAGGGACATTTTTGGTCTTTTGCAGTTTAATTTCTTTGACCATTTTGGTGACTTTTTGGATACATGTAAAAAATGTGATCCCATTTTGCAAAATATGTATAACACACATTGTGTAGATCAAATAGTAACATAACACCATAAAAACCAAAAATGGCCCATTGAAACCCATTAAAACGTTGTTTAAATCTGAGGCTGTCAGTAATACATGAAACATGATTTTTGCACAAACATCCTTTCATTTTGAAGCAAAAGCATTATATTTGCATTATATAGTGTATTCCACCAGATGACGTCACTACATATTTATTCCCTATGGGTGGAAATGCACCTTATTTTAGGCAATAGGCAATGTTTAATAGGTGGCCATTTTTGGTCTCTAACGCGCTAAGTGGGATTTTTTCAAAGTGGGACTGTGATAATCCAAATCTAAAGTTTTCTCTTTGCATTTAGTTTATTGAAAATAATTGAATTTTTGTGTTTTTTCCTCTTATACAAATCGATGGTTTCGCAAACAAAACTGGTAATTAAAGGGCTAAAATCCTGAAATTGAATACATTTTTGGTAGTTATGGTGAGGACTGATGCTGGTTAAAAGATTTAACTTTGTAAAAGTGGAAAATAATAATAATATATAATATTTTAGGCAATGTTTAATATGTGGCCATTTTTGGTCCTTAATGCACTCAACGGTGTTAAAAATCTAATGCAGCACAAGGGTTAAGAAAAATGTGTTATTAATATATCAAATATTTCTATTTATATATAATATTAATTGTGAATAAATATATATAAAATATGTACATGCACATATTTCTTAAATATATACATGCATGTGTGGGTATTTATATATACAAATTAATTATACACACTACACACACATATATTATGTAAACACAAACTTTTATTTTGGATGCGATTAATCGCGATTAATCATTGCCCATCCCTAAACTTCACATAAAACAAATTCGACCCAATTCTCAATGCATGCGTGCGCACATGAATTAGTTCTTAATCTCGTTCTAATGTTAATGAATCTTGAGTATTCTAAATGAGCGACCGTGTGTCCGAGGTTATGGTCGTTTGCATAAAACACGCCTAAAGAATCTCCAAATAAGGGCTTTCTGTGCGACCCTTCCTTGACAGCCTTTCGTCACGCTCAGCAAACATGTGACCTTCTCTAAAGACGATTCTGAGAGCAAATGTATGCTCAATAACCAACTTGAACACAATAAACTCCACAGATTTGACCACTTATTAGCCAGCGGTACACATGCATATCTGTGTTGTTATTGCAGATGAGCCGTAACACTGCTATTATGTGAGTATTTCACTGTATATGAAGTCATCATGAAATAGAAGCTGCAATAGTCTTTTCTTCTTTGTGACATAAGTTGAAAACAGCTAAAAAAATGTAGGACGAGACTCGTTTTTGTCCGTATGGAATTGGTTGGATGGTTTGCTATTGGTGGATCTCGCGTGAGTGACAGGTTGCTCCGCCCTCACGCCAGTGAACGCATCATCAGAGAAGATGTTATGAGTAAAGACTACAAGATGCATTAATTAAAAGAAAAATATGTGCGTGGGGCAATTATTTATAATAAATAAGATTTGTCAATTTTGATTTCATGGTGACTTTATGATGAAGAAATGTCTGGTTTCACTTTTATTAACTTTTTTAATTTTGTAACAACTTTTAGTAGAAAAGTTGGTGAATCATGATTTGTTCTTGGTGACATTTGTGTGTTAGTGAATGAGACCTATCATGTGTTTGATAAGCCAACTATGTAGAACATGTAAAACACTGAGGAAAATGCAGTATGTCTGAATTCATAGCATTCATAAACCAGTAGGTGAAACGTTACCCGGGTGACCTTCTTTACACGGCCAGATTGTGTATCCACGAATGAAATGGGTATCTGATGGACACTTTACTATCCCATAAGGCCACACGAGAAGCTCCAGCGATTACTTAAGTCACATGATGTTGCAGTGTGTCCAAATCTCATTCATACTAAACACGCGTTCAATTTATTTTAATGGTTGCAAAGTAAATTTCTTATTTTTGTTTGAGGTCAAATAGTACATTTCACCCAAAAACCAGTTAGTAGCAACTTAATAATGTTGCTTTTTTGATGTATTTGCTCTTATCTTACAGAAACAAGAGTTGAGATCAAAGAGTCTGTGAGAGGACAAACAATCTTCATCATCCAAACCATTCCCAGGTAAGAGTGTGCACTCTTATTAAGTAAATTCAGGACGTTTACACTTATTTGTGTCTGCTTTTTGCAATCTATATCATATATAATGGGATCATTGTACACAAGTTGGTATTTTTAATGTGAGATGTGGTTGCCAGTTAAAGCTGCACCAGTTCACACCAAAATAATTTACTCACCCACTTTTTTGCATTGAAGCAAAAGGTGAAAAGCCATGCTTTTTAGCTTGTTTATTTACATGGCATCTTACCTTTTATTCTGAACTGCATACATTGGTGTTTTAAAGGGATACTCCATTTTTTTTTGGAAATAGGCTCATTTTACCACTCCCCCAGAGTTAAACAGTTGAGTTTTACCGTTTTCGAATCCATTCAGACGATTTTCTGATTTTTAGAATAATATCAGTAACCAGACAGTTTCTGGTCCCATTGACTTCCATAGTATATTTTTTTCCTACTATGGAAGTCAATGAGACCAGAAACTGTCTGGTTACTGATATTCTTCTAAAAATCAGAAAATTGCTGAATGGATTCGAAAACAGTAAAAACCCAACTGTTTAACTCTGGGGGAACTGTCAAATCAGTCCCTCCAGAAAAACGCGATTATGCGATCGCTGAATTCAATGCAAAATCAGCCAAGGTCCGCATATTTATGCGGGGGCCGCATTTTTTCAAATACGCCGCACTTTCGCCGCATAAATTGCCGATTTCCGTGCAAAATATGCGGGGTTTGCATAATTTCATAATCCTCGCATTTTCTTTGCAAAAAAAGTCACATGTATCTTAGCAGAAAGTTGAAAAATGTTGCATTTGCTTCACACAAGAGCAGCCATTTCCCCCTGTTTCCATGGGAACGTTATGAAGTGACGCAATTACGCGACGCCAGACAGACTCACGGAGGCGATTGACATCACAGAAAAACAAACAAATCGAACTCGTATAACTGTCTGTCACACGTTCTACCGTCACGTCGTTACTTAATAAACAACATAAGATAAAAGAAGTAGCATCAAACAGAAATGACCCGCACACATGGGGTGTTCGAGGCGCACATATAACACTGCAGAGAGTTCAACAGGAGCGCGCAGCTCTTAAAGGGGCCACACCTTATTTACACTCGTTACAGTCTGAAATAAAACAAGATGAGAAATTAAATATTCCCAGCGCTTTCTATGATGTAGTATGCTTGCCTATCAAAGGAAGTAATAAGTAATGACTCTTACATTAGCCTAGTGAGAAATTTCATTGCATAAAATTGCATAAATATAAATATATATTCCATCGCATTTTTAAAGAAGACGGCCGCGTAATCAATCAATTTTTGCCCGCGACAATCACAAAAAAACTCCACATTTTTCTGGAAGGACTAAATACTATTATGGTAAATGTTATATATAAATCGCAAATTTTTTTCAAAAATGTTTGGAAATTACCACCACAAAATCAGTCATTTTGATCGCAAAAATCACAAAAAAAAAAATCGTGAAATCCTGGAGGTTCTGTCAAATGAGCCTATTTCCCAAAAAAAGTGTAGTATCCCTTTAAACCCAGAAGCACTTTAGATTTATATTTTTCTGCCTCTGTCAGAGATGTCAACACTGCTATTATGGAGCTGCTGATTATGGCCTACGCACTGAAGACGTCCTGTGCCAAGAACATCATCGGCGTGATCCCGTACTTCCCCTACAGTAAACAGTGTAAGATGAGGAAGAGAGGGTCTATTGTGTGCAAACTGCTCGCTTCCATGTTAGCTAAAGCAGGTAATGTCTATGATGTTCCTACTTCTGTTTTCACACTAGTAATATTCAGTCTTTATTATTATAAACTCGTTATTATATGACAACTATATATATTTTACTCCCTGCATTGATAATTAGGGCTGACTCATATAATCACAATGGATCTGCACCAGAAAGAGATCCAAGGCTTCTTTACATTCCCTGTGGACAACCTGCGGGCTTCTCCATTCCTGCTGCAGTACATTCAGGAGGAGGTCAGCAACATTCACTGACATAAACTTGATAAATAATCAATTAATAATTAATATTGATCATTTCTCTTCTTACTTTTTCTGTTTTGCATAGGTTCCTGATTATAGAAATGCTATCATTGTAGCCAAGTCCCCATCTGCTGCAAAACGGTAACTGTTCCTGGGTTTGATTTGCATTTGTGTTTGTTTTGTGGGTGAAAGCAGGCCTAGATGGAGTGTATCTAAACATTGTGAAATGGGTTAAACCGAGCTGAGAACACTACATTTTTAGATGAAAATGTTATCCAGTTAAATAAGGCGCTTGGGGTAGATAAAGTATTTCACTTTGTGGATGGATGCACATTTGCAGAGATTTGGGAGTGCAGAGTGGATGTGGGTCTGCTTGTTTACAGTATTTCGAAACCACACTTTCAGGTTGTTTGCCCCATTATGCTTTTTTTTTCGGATATTTCCTTCCATGTAATATATAATATAACTGTTTGTGAATGTTCAAGTTCTTCAAAGTTTTGAAGATGGAGTTGTTGACTCCCAAAAGAAAGAACCACTTCCGAACTGCCTGAAACCAGTCATCAGTTTTACGTCCTGTTACTAAACGATATGGCCGTGTTTGGTTTCCGGCATGCACTGTAACCGGTCGACCAACTGTCTGACCAATCAGAGCAGAGTAGACCAATCACAACAGCCTGAACCATCTGACCAATCAGAGCAGAGTAGTAGACCAATCACAACAGCCTAAACCATCTGACCAATCAGACCAGAGTAGTAGACCAATCACAACAGCCTAAACCATCTGACCAATCAGAGTAGAGTAGTAGACCAATCACAACAGCCTGAACCATCTGACCAATCAGAGTAGAGTAGTAGACCAATCACAACAGACTGGCTTCTGATTCCACTTATGAGTTCTATGGCCTCATTTCTAACTGTTGTGTATGCACAACACATGCCCTGAATAGGCGTACGTACACCATTTCCGACGCATAAGTTGTGGTTTTTAAAAACAAACTTGATGGGAAAATTTGTGCACCTGCACGCAAACTATAACCTATCTGTATGTGTCCCCTCTCTTGTCGTTGTCTCTTCAGGGCTCAGTCGTATGCGGAGCGTTTGCGTCTCGGTCTGGCCGTCATGCACGGAGAAGCTCAGTGTTCGGAGTCAGACATGGCAGACGGGCGGCATTCTCCTCCATGTGTCCGCAACACCTTTGGACACTCCGGCTTGGAGTTGCCATGTAAGAACCACCACACTGTAGATCTGCACGACCCCAGCAGCTTGAACCCTGTGACTAATCATTATTAAGATCTTAACCAGGTTATAAACACTAACTAGACCAGCAAGACTCTCACAAAACCTGTCAAAACATGTCCTGCTTATATTTGACCCTAAAATCAAAAGAATGAAATGGTTATTTTTTTCAATATTTTTTCTTTGAGATTTTATTTTCTGGCAAAAATCTAAAAAAAATATTAAAAAAACACAACAAACATATGAAATTGAGGTTCTGAAGTATTTGTACCTCATGGTAGTGTGTGTAGTAATGCCTTTAAGGTGATTAGGTAAACCATATTGTATTTCAGTAATAGTATTAAGAATTACCAGTAAGAAATATGGGAGTTTATTATAAAAACTCAAAGGTAGAATATAAAGAAGCAGTGTGGTTTTGAGAATTAGGGTGGAAATGGTCCATGTATGTTATATAATGAAATAATGAAAGCAGAAAAGTGATACTACGGCACATTTTTTGATCAAGCCGAATTATTGTTGAAAATTGTATTTATTTTTCTGCTTTCAGTATTAAAACCAAAAAACAAAACAAATGAATGTACACAGACTGAAAATGTGTTTAATTGTCATTAACATAAAGCCACAGTGCAAGAAAGACTTGGTGGAGAAAGAAATTAACTAATTATATTTATTTTATTTATTTTATTTAGGCTATGCCATTTTGATTTTGGGGTGAAATGCATCTAGACATGTTTTTGTGAGATTTATACCATGATCCTGTTAATAAAAGGGTCGATTGCAGCATTTAGCCTAGCTCTGTTAAGTAGTTCAAGATAGGTCAAGAGGTTTTTTTAACCCTCCCACATTCATTTCGCTCTGTTTCTAGATGCTTACTAAGGCTTTGTCTCAAAACCTAGTCAGTATGTGAGCTACCTAGACAATCTGTTCCAAAACCTAGCAAGCCACCTAACTAGAAAAACAGTTGATGCTATATTGGTAGCTCTTGACACGGAATGTGTTAGTATTAATGTATTTAGAAGTTGATTTAAAGTTTTTCCCTATTGTGACATACTATATATTATAGTGAAACTAACTAAATATTTCAAAATGGGGACCTCCATTTTAACTCTAAAGATTTTAAATGGGACCTACTAGCAGTCAAGTTGGTAAGAGTGGGTTGGGTAATTGATAATCCCAATAATCAACAGTGCCCAGTGCTGTATGGTCCTGAGATTTTTAAATAAACTTTGAAAAATATATCTCTCTGAAGCATGTGCATATATAAACCAACAATTTAAGGACTACACAAACTCTTAGAATATGTTTGTTAGTTACCATTACAATTATGTTGCAAGTCATCAACACAAGTCATCTAGGTTTTGAGAGACAGCTATTATTTCCATGCGCTATTTGTTTTAGATTTTACCTGCGTCTTACCTTGAGCACACAGTTTGCTTAGTTAGAAAGTTCATAAACACACTGTGATATGTAGCATATTGATTTATGAGCAGGTTTTGTGTGGTATGTATCTTGGCCTTTATATACTCACATTGCCTGAGAGGAGTTCACTCCAAGTAGCTTCATGTACATTTATGTGTGGACTTTACCAATCCTCAAAATACCCTCTCTTGTATTTGTTCTCAATTTGAAGACACTTAATTCAACTTGAAGTGTATAAAGTTTATTTGAAAGCTTATTTGAAAATAAGGATTGTTGAAGTCCTAGTTTCTTGTTTGTATGTTCTATCATTTGTGTGTGGATTTTTGTTTAACGTGATGTTTATTTATTGGTAATAGGCAAACAACAAGTTCCGTTCCCAGGCATAGAGCTCCCAAGTATGACGGTTAACTCTATTTGCTACCGATCACAACAGTGAACACGCTGAAATGTTTCTATTGCATGCGTGCAGTGGCTGAGGAGGTCTCTCAGTGTCTGTGATCCCAGCACTCTGAAGTACTTACTCTATTCATCATAAGGTCTTTATCAATTCACCCAAAAATGTGTTCATTATTACTCACCCTTGTGTCGTTCCAAACCCGTAAGATTTCCGTTCATCTTTGGAACACAAATGAAGATATTTTTAATTAAATATGAGAGATTTTTGTTCATCCATTGACAGCTATGCAGCTACCAATTCGACGCTTCAAAAAGGGATCATAAAACTAATCCAAATGAATCGAGCAGTTTATCAACATTTTCTAAACAGTTTAGATCACTTTATGTGATGAATAGATTTGATTTAGGCTTTTATTCACATATAAACTTTGATGAGTGAACACAAGATTAACACGAGAATGAACCTCGTTGGTTCTTGCTGAAGCTCAAAAAGTGCTGCGTAACACGAGAATGAACCTCATTGGTTCTTGGAGAAGCTCAAACGTGCTGCGTAACACGAGAATGAACCTCATTGGTTCTTGCTGAAGCTCAAATGTGCAGCGTAACACAAGAATGAACCTCATTGGTTCTTGTCGAAGCTCAAAAGTGCTGCGTAACACAAGAATGAACCTCATTGGTTCTTGCTGAAGCTCAAACGTGCAGCGTAACACAAGAATGAACCTCATTGGTTCTTGTCGAAGCTCAAACGTGCTGCGTAACACGAGAATGAACCTCATTGGTTCGTTCTTGTCGAAGCTCAAACGTGCTGCGTAACACAAGAATGAACCTCATTGGTTCTTGTCTTGCTCGTCAAGCTCTCATAGCAAACGTGCAGCGTAACACAAGAATGAACCTCATTGGTTCTTGCAGAAGCTCAAACGTGCAGCGTAACACAAGAATGAACCTCATTGGTTCTTGTCGAAGCTCAAACGTGCTGCGTAACACAAGAATGAACCTCATTGGTTCTTGTCGAAGCTCAAACGTGCTGCGTAACACAAGAATGAACCTCATTGGTTCTTGTCGAAGCTCAAACGTGCTGCGTAACACAAGAATGAACCTCATTGGTTCTTGTCGAAGTTCAAAAGTGCAGCGTAACACGAGAATGAACCTCATTGGTTCTTGCTGAAGCTCAAACGTGCTGCGTAACACAAGAATGAACCTCATTGGTTCTCGCTGAATCTCAAAATTTTGCTACGTAACACAAGAATGAACCTCATTGGTTCTCGCTGAATCTCAAAATTTGCTGCGTAACAAGAATGAACCTCATTGGTTCTTGCTGAATCTCAAAAGTGCTGCGTAACACAAGAATGAACCTCATTGGTTCTTGCAGAAGCTCAAACGTGCAGCGTAACACAAGAAATGAACCTCATTGGTTCTTGTCGAAGCTCAAACGTGCTGCGTAACACAAGAATGAACCTCATTGGTTCTTGTCGAAGCTCAAATGTGCTGCGTAACACAAGAATGAACCTCATTGGTTCTTGCAGAAGCTCAAACGTGCAGCGTAACACAAGAATGAACCTCATTGGTTCTTGTCGAAGCTCAAACGTGCTGCGTAACACAAGAATGAACCTCATTGGTTTCTTGTCGAAGCTCAAATGTGCTGCGTAACACAAGAATGAACCTCATTGGTTCTCTCTTGCTGAAGCTCAAACGTGCTGCGTAACACAAGAATGAACCTCATTGGTTCTCGTCGAATCTCAAAATTTGTTGCGTAAACACGAGAATGAACCTCATTGGTTCTTGCTGAAGCTCAAACGTGCTGCGTAACACAAGAATGAACCTCATTGGTTCTTGTCGAAGCTCAAAAGTGCTGCGTAACAC